ATCTCACCCTCCCACCCCTCCCTCGACTCTGTGCTGCTGGTATTCACATGCTAATTCATCTCCACTGGTAATTACACTCTCTTTAAACCAACTGACAACTACAGCTGGAGTCAGGCTCTTAACGGCACACAGTTGGATGGATGGGTGTAGGGATGAGAGTGTGAGTGTATGCACTTGTATACATTTGTCGATGGGGCTTTTATTTTGGTTCTTCTCGTCCGCCATAAAACGGTAGTGATAGATGATGACACATTATCTGTTCTCTTACCCAAAACAGCCGCGCAACCTCCCGTGTTGCTCCAGGCTGCGAAACAGCCTCGGCCTAATAGTTGTATGTAAATCAGGTAGCTCATAAAGATCAGTGTCTGCACTCAGCTGTGTACTTTGGCTAACATGGAAAGCACACCACATGTTCCAGTGAATTCACTCCAATGTGGTGGCTTGTCATGTTGGAAATTTAATCTCAGTGATGTTTTATTTACATCTAATTGAAATATTTCAAAATCGTTGCTAATAAACTTAGCAGTCTGAGCTCTCTGAGTAACCACTGCCTCATCTTTTAAAAGTGTCGTCTGAGGAGCTGTACCTGTGTGAGAGAGGAAATAAAGCAGAAGCCTTGAGGAAAAAAGGATACAAGCTCTGGTAGAGAGTCAGCCGGGACTTGACAGCTCTGCTGGCATTGATACAGGTAGCCCGCACTAAACTTGGCAGCAGCATCCCAGTGACGATAGCGCCATTAAACAGAGGGCCAAAGAAGGGAACCTGAGGAAGTCAAGAAAGAAACAAAGAAATTAGACAAGTCGGTAATAAAACTCAAATTTTAGTGCGGTCCTGTTTTTGCATGTGCAACTACTTAAGAGACACATTTTTTTGTTTAAAAACAAAACAAAAAAACCCCTCCTCCATCTGTTTAGGGGAAGGGTTTAAGTTGAAATTGGATTTTGCCTAACTCTGCATGACAACCACACATATCTTATGCGAATCAATGTTAGGTAAATGAAATTAAAATGACAATCAATACTATACAATGCCCTCATATTGAGCTATTTAATACAAAGGGGCAGAATGAATTTCAAGAATAGCGTGTGTGTGTGTGTGTGTGTACGCGTCTGTTCATGCATATTGGAAGGGGGCCCTTAATCACTGAAGCTCAATAGTCACTGACCTGGAAGTTGACGTGAACGTCAAAGTCTTTCCAAAGGCCCTGCTGTCCTCAACTTGGCACTCGACCAGCCAAATTAAACAACAAAATAATGTATAACACCAGTGATACAGAATAATTAGCTAAATCGTGTGATGGAAACCTGAAGTTATACTATAAATACTCCAGCATCACACATCTGATGGTTTTACACGTTTTTTAATTTAGAGGAACTCTCCGATAAAATGTTTATATTTTCACGCACTGCAGCGGCAGCTCTTCTTCTGACCTTCACCCAATGATAAAGGCTTCCTGTTGCAGAAACTCTTTTTTTAAATTATGATATTTAACAACTGTAGTTTTTCAGCTTCATTCCAATTCCTCTTTGTGCAGCTCCCCGACAGAAAAACTGAAATAAAAGCTTCCTGCACAAAGGGTTAGTGTTTTCAGAGGTTATCTGGAATAGGCCCTCCATGAACACGAGTGGGCCTGGAGTAGCACTGAGGAAAACGTATGGATGGAAGTCGACTAGTGTATGACTCATGAATGATAAAAGCAGTTTTTCTTAACAGCAATTGAGAGTTCCAGGAAAACCATTTAAATTTCTTTTTGATAACTAATGTGCTCTCAGCAGTGAATAAAGTTTTGCATCTAGTGAACTGCTGCGTTGAATTTTGACATTTATCGAAGTCAAAACGTGGAGCTTTCAGTGACGTGGATGGCCTCGCTAGTTTTCTGTTTACACGGACAAAACCAGAACTCCATTAGAGCAATGACTATGATGCAAACAGAGACGTCAATAAATTGGCACTATGATCATTCACACTGGAAAACGATGAATGAAACAAATACAGTCTGAATTAATTTCCCCTCCTTCTATGACTGTTATAAAAACAATGGAAGAATAAGAACATAACGTGTTTCTACAACATCATTTTACATGATCCATTTCCCGATTATCTCTCTCAAGATAACTTACTGGAAAGAAAAGAAAAATACTGCTTTAAGAATTTTGCACTATGCATTTTTATAATGTGTGGATATATCTGAACATCTGAATCCAGTCATCCTGGACAAA